GAGTATCATCGTAATCAACATAATCTATGTGTATAACGAGTACATCGCACTCGAAATAAATTATCACTACTTTCGAGTTTCAACATAGAATCGTCTCAATGCAATTGTTCTCGATTAGATTAGTAAATTCGTCGTAGGATTTTGCTAAAAGAACTCTTTCGATTCACTTGAAGAATCAATAATTGACAGATAGACGACAGATCAGTCACGGCCTGTGATGGTTTAGAGGTATTTTGAACATGCTAGTTTTGGGCTCTAGAACTCTGTGATAGACGCAGATAGATTTCTCGGTCATGCTTAAATTGGCTTCATCGTGTTTCACATTTTAATCCTGTAGGAATTACGCTGAAAGCTTATTTTTACCCATTGTGATTTTAAAATCACGGTCTCCTATTCTGTTTCATTTCAGGGACACTGCCGGCCAAGAACGATTCCATAGTATTACCTGTAAGATTACTTTACTGTTGTCGTTGCGACAGATATCGATTGTCAATTCTCGTTAGGTTCCTACTATCGAGGCACCACCGGAATCATACTTGTTTACGATGTCACTAAAGCGCAATCATTCGAAAGTCTGAAGAAATGGGTACGTAATATCGACGAGTATGCACCAAAACATGTTGTCAAAATGCTTCTCGGTAATAACTGTCACATGGAAGATAAACGATGTATTCCACGAACACGTGGCGAAGTCTTTGCGAGTGAACACGATCTACTATTTATGGAAGTATCGGCCAAAGAGAATATCAACATTGAAAAAGCCTTTTTCGAAATGAGTCGACTCATGCTAGAAAAAGCTGAACTAGATCCGATCGCTGCGCCAGTGAGGAGTATCGGAATAGCCGAAGGCAACAAACAGTCGAAACAGTCGAATTGCATGTAGAGAACCTGTGAATCAGTCAGGCATCAGAAAAAAAATCGGAATTATCGATCTGTTTTTTCCTGCTGCTTTCTTGATCTGTTCTTGATTCAATTGGATATTTCTCACTCTGTGTGCGTATGAACTGGCATGTGTATGTGGAGTTTACATTCTTTTTTTTTTATTTGGGCGATCTTCGATTTATCCATTATAAATACACAGAGAGAGAAAGAGACCAATGTGGCTTTTGCGTGACGAACACGAGAAAATGATTTGAAAAAATGAGAATTTTCTAGCTGAGGGTGTGGGTGTGGGTGGGTGTGGATGTGGGTGTGGGTGTGAGTGTGGGTGTGGGTATGAGTACGCCTCTTCTAAAATAGATACCCACATCCACACCCAACAGCAGCTCATCCCTAAGATCAAATCGAAGCGCTAAAGAAATCAGTTTAGGTTATATGAGATATCACATAAAAGCACACTCATAGTTCGTACATTAATTCCGAAAAACGAACCAAGTATTATAATTTCAACTTCTGTTGCTGTGTGATAATCTGGATGCATGTTGGACGATCTTTAGGCTTCTGTTGTAAACATTGTTTACATATAATAATCCAGAAACAAACTAGCTCATTCTCATTGGAAAGATCTGATTCCGCAATGATTTCTTGCATCGTTGCTCCAAGAGCGTATATGTCTGTCTTCAGCGTAATCAGTTCTGGTTTGCCTGGCACAGCCAAAAGCAATTCTGGGGCGACATAGCCTGGTGTGCCTTTAATCGAGAGAGGCGCTCGCTGAATTAAGCCAAAGTCTGCAATCAGGCAAATTGGGGGCTGCGGTTCTTTCATGTGAACTAGTATATTGTGTGGCTTGATGTCACGATGAAAGAAGTCCATATCATGCAAGTAAGCGAGACCTTCAATGATCTGCACGAAGATGACATCGATGCATTCACCCGTTAGCTGTCCCTTTGACTTTTTCCAATTCAAGTAATCTTTAAGATCCGATGCAAGGCGCTGCATAATTATTTCATAACGATCTGCCATCTTTTCACTCTTCCGCACCCCGTAAAAATGAATGATATTTTTATAGGGTGTGGGTGTGAGTGTGGGTGTGAGTGTGAGTGTGGGTGGGGTGTGAGTGTGAGTGTGGGTGTGTGGCTGGGTGTGGGCTGTGGGTATGGGTGTGGGGTGTGGGTGTGGGTGTAGGGTGTGGGTGTGGGGTGTTGGGTGTGGGTGTGAGGTGTGGGTGTGAGATGGTGTGGGTGGGTGTGGGGTGGGTGTGGGTGGTGGGTGTGGGTGTGGCGGGTGTGGGGTGTGGGTGTGGGTGTGTGGTGGGTGTGCGTGAAGAGAACATCCACACGCATAGCCCACACCCACTTCCACACCCACACCAACACCCACTCCCACACCGACACCCAAACACCCACACCCCCATACGCACACCCCACACCCATATCCTGCTCTCATTCACAGACCAACCAGTTTAAAACATGAGCTGCCAACACCGTACACAAACCGAGATGTTTAAATTTTAAGATGTTTATAGTTTGTTATGTGCTCACACTACAAAATTTTATCAACGGTTAATTTACTTTTTTCGTTATGATTGGATGGAGCATGACTATTTACATAAGAAAAAACAATATCGCGCATATTAAAAAGCAATTTCTACGATGTGTAAGATAACATTTTTTTAATTATAAGGGTAATCAACAAAAAATTTTAGTTGCTATCAAATTTCTTTTGAATGAGTAATATTGCTTCTCCTTATGCAAATAGTCGTGTTTCATTCAACTATGACGAAAAAAGTAAAT